TGAGCTTCCGGGTTGTAGCAAATATCGCCAAAGTTAGCTTTTGAATTTCTAATAGCATCGATGAGAGCTTTTGAACTATGGAATACAGGTAGTCGGGTCCCAAACTCTTCTCGTATGATGGTAGTGCTTATTGCTCCTTTAGATACCGTCAAACATGCAACTAAATTCTCCGCTGCTTTCGATTTGGATAGTAAGGAGGTGATGTCGAATACTTCTTCAAGTCCTTGAATATGCATTGGCAAACCTAGTCCCAAAGTGCATGCTTCTCTGCTGGAAGTCCTTTTTGGAAGGCTGCTCTAGCTATCGAGTCGTTACATCCGACTATCCTTGCCTTCTCTGCTTTAAACCTCTTCACATAGTTAGGAAGCGACTCCTTTGGGTTATTCTTGATGTTGAACAAATGAGCGATGTGATGAATATTCTTTGATGAAAATCAAAGAAAGTTCGTCGAAACTTCGAATGGATTGTGGCGGCAGGGTGTAGAACCAATCTTGCGCTTTGCCTTGTAAAGTGAAGGTGAATATCTTGCACATGAGGTCGTCGTTGTTTCGATAAAGGATCATTGTGCTTCGGTAGTGCTTTAAGTGGCTCTTTGGGTCCTCATCCCCTTTGAAAGATGTGAAATGTGGCATGCTGAACTCGCGTGGAGGCTTTGCCTACTCGATCTAGTCCGTGAAGGGTGACCTGCTTATGTTGGTCATGTTCCGTCGTAGTGCCTCGTCGGTGACCTCGTTGCGTTGGAAATTGCGCAATCGTTTGGTCAATAGTCTTTATACTTCTTCCTGAATTTGCCTTTGTTGAGGTAGTAGAGCTATTGGCTGCCCCCAGCCGTGACTTGCTGGTCTAGGCTGCTCTTCCATGTGTTTAGCTCGTATTTGTCGTGGATGCGGTGCGTGTAACGTGTTCTTAGCAAGCGAGCGAATTCTTCGCAAGTTGCCAGTTAAACTTGAGTCAGATTGAGTGACTACTTCTTTCCGTCTGCATGCTGCCTACTCCGAAGTGAGATGGAGGATGCTCCTTGTGGGCTTAGCCGCGAATGAACATTTTGGTTAAGGCCAAAAGCCTCACGCGCCCACGATGAACGGGAGGCTTTGGCCGAAGAACCTCTAATGTCAAAGTTAGAATTTAGAGAGAAAAATGTTTAGAGAGTTTTTGGAGTTTTGCAAGAGTGTAGACTTAGCTTTTTATAGAAAATGGGGTTCAATATATAAAGCATGGCCGGCCCTTTTGGGAGAGAGAGTGGTCGGCCTTTTGGGTACTTTTTTAGTGTAATGGATCATTTATTTGGCAATAAATGGATTAATTAGGTAATTAATCCATTAATTGGCCAATTAACTCAATTTATAAGGAATGTTTTGAAGGTTATAGAATAATTACCTTGTAGCGAATATAAGATAAGGATTGATGAAATAATTTTGAATTTGTTACCTTTTTGGGCACTTTTGACTTGATTGAGGGATGATTGTCTGCTGCTCGTGCGTGGGAAATCCGATGTGCCTCAAGGATAATTTTGTTCTTTTACACAAAAATTCACATGTCGCCTTATGATTATTTTTTAGCTCCACATGAACCACTCACACAGATCGGTGAGATTAACCCTCACAGAGAGAGAGAGAGTAAGGGATCTCTATTTATTTTTAGGACCACAAGTTATTTAGATTAGGGCTGGGCAAACGGGTCCTGGACCCGCGGGTAGGGGCGGGTAATACGGGTACGGGGCGGGTACGGGCCGGTTCTTAGTTTTGGAAAAATAGAACGGGGCGGGGCGGGCCTGGTAATTGAAGTTTTAGGGGCGGGCCGGTTCCAAAATTATAGGATCCGCGGGTACCCGGACCGGCCCGTTTGTATTAGATTGGACGGATGAGATTTAATATCATCTCTCCATCCAATCTCAACCGTCAGTTCAATTTCAACCCTAGCCAAACCTTCCCCGGTCCCGAGTTCCAGAAGCATCCTCAGCTTCCCTCAGCAGCCTCACAGTCTCTCGGATTTTCAAACTCTCCCTTGACTCCCTCTCCCTGAGTCCCTCTCCCTATCCCTCTTCCTCGAATCCCTCTTCCTCGAATCCCTCTCCCTATCCCTTCCCTCAACTCCGATTCACAGTGCTCACCTCACCACTCTCACAGCGTTGTCGCGACTTCGACTCACAGTGCTCACCTTAACTCCGACCAACATCATCACCCCCCATCACCACCTCCGCCGTCGCAACCACCATCATCACCCTATCACCACCGTCGAGGACACTGCTACTACCAGTACCAAGGCAAGTACCAACCATCATCCCTCTAAAATTTAGGTAATTTTGAATTAGGTTTTACAGTTTTACTATTAATGTGAATTTTTGGTGTAGGGATTTTTAGGGGTTTTAAGTTAGAATTTGTAGAATTTGTAGATCGATGATTGAGCTATAAAAAATATTCCTCTTTTGATTTTTTTTTTCAGAAAGGGAGGAAATGCTTACGATATTATAGATATTTGAACTCTTCCCTGTGCTGCTCAATGTTTTGTGAATTTTCTCCTGTGATTGATGAAATGAGGTTAAAGGAATCCGTAATAATTGGTTTTGCAATTCAATTTCAGTGCAATAAAAAAAAAATCTCTCGGCTCTCTTGTACAGTACGGAGTGAAAGAGCTAGTTTCTTCTCTTGTACAAACTCGTTTAGAAACCCCTAAAAATGTTGGAGAATTGCTCGACGGGATTTCATTTCCCTTCCCAATCTGAAGAAGGAATTGAGGTTTCTGTAGGTTACTGCACCTGATTTCCTTTTAAAATTGAGATTAACTAGAGTCAATAGAAAATTCAAGTTTTAGTCTTTTGATTTATTTGTGCTAGGAAAAGGTGTGAAACCATTGAAGTTGCTGCGTTTCTACATAGCAGATTGAATAGAGTTGGTGTCGAGAATACTGGGAAGCATGTAGTTGTATGTAGTTCACACAGTAGCATGTGTGGTTGCACTCGGCCTCATGTTTCTCATATGAGTAGGACTTGGGAGTGGACAGACAGGCGTAGGTGGTGGTGTGGTGGCGTGGTGACAGTTAGCTTTTGTGGATAGTTTGGATTAGTTTGCTTAATGAGATATGTTGTACATACCTGTTGCTAACAATTTGGGGGACACTATTGAATTTCAATATATGTTTTCGTATCTAGGTATGTATATTATTCTGTAATGTATTTAACAGATAGCATCGATGTTTCATGTATCATACGGCATGTATTCATCATTCATCGTTTCAAGTAGTATATTAGTTTGTGCTATCTCTATTCAAATTTATTCCAGGCTGCAACTTATTAACTTGACTCTGCCTATTGTGTGAAAACTTTTATGTATCACTTGTATTTGAGAGCTCCAACATAAAAGAAGAGGTAGCCATCGGTGGTATGATTTACACACCTATTTAAACAAAGAAAAAACAGAGACAAGTTGATTGCAATTTGCCTAAAAATTGTATTACTCATGATAAAGAGAGGGGAATGATTTACACACACCGATTTATGTATCGTGATTATGTAGCCTAAATTCGTTTCATTGATTTAGATCCTTTTTATTATGTTTAAAATGTGCAAAGTTATGAATGATTCAAATTTTTAGTAATGAGTTGACGTAGTCCCATAAATATTGAGGTAGTGTTGTGAAAAACTGCAATCTGTGCAGTTTGTGCAGTTTGTGAAAAACTGCAATCTGTGCAGTTTTTTCAAACTGCAATCTGTGCAGTTTGAATCTGTGCAGTTTGAAGTGCAGCAAACATTTTTAAACAGGAAAAAAAAAAGGACTCGTGTACCCGGACCGAACCGGTCCGTTTCAACCGGGCCGGGTAAGGTCCGGTTCCTAATTTCAGAATTGTAATGCCCGCTCCGGCCCGCCCCGTCTCCTTTAATTCCGGGTCCGGTCCGGTCCCTTCAAAAATGGGCCCGGCCCGGCCCGTGCCCAGCCCTAATTTAGATCTGAATTTTTAAGCTTCTTGTCGGAGGGAGTTCATGCAGGACACGGGTTTCCATTTAAGTTTGTGGTTGATGGGAGCTCCATCAAGAGTTTTATAATTTGCAATCGCTCAAAGCAGAGAGAGTAAATTTCTTTTGGTTTCATGACCTTGCGCTATGCAAAGCAATTAGTCTGATGATCATATTCATAGTTTGTCTAGTCTAATTTCTGGTTTAAGTCTTTTTCACTCATTATGAGTGTATTTTGTGATCTTTATTATTAATTGACAGGTATTAAATTTATAACAACAGCTAAAAAAATTTTTTTGTAAATTTTATTATTGATTGACACACGTATTAAATTTATAATATAGTTAAAAGAATTAAATGTCTATTAATATAGAGACCACAAAAATCTACGGACAAAATTAGCGCAAAACATTTGAACTTGTCTAATCCTTCCAATCCAAGATTATAGAAATATCTCTCTTTATGACCAAATAATATTATTGTAAAGAAATTATATTATACACTAATGAAAGGGCTAGACTCGATCTCATAATAAACTAACAATAATTTAATTCAAATTCTCTTTTAACAAAAATCAAACATAAAACCTCTTATTTACAAATAAAAAAAATATCACTAAACATAAAACCTCTTATTAACAAAAATTTGTCAAAACGAGTTATATTGGAAGGACCATTGCTACAATTGGGTTAAAGTTAAAATATCATTTCTCCACTTGAATTAAAGTTCAGGGACCAATGGTAATGGATTTTTAGTTGAGGGACCATAGCTGCACGTTTTGATAAGTTGAGGGACCAAAGGTAATGAGTTTTTAGTTGATGGACCATTACTCTAATTTGATTAAAGTTGAAGGACCATTTGTACAATTTACTCTAAAAAAAAATATCACTAAACAGTAGTAGTAAGTAACCGATAATCTCTATTTAAATTGGAATTTTTATTTATTATCCAATTAGAAAATAAAAATGAACCATAATTAGCCACATAGTCGGGCAGAGATCCAATCTACTACCCAGTACCCACACAATCTAAATCTAAAAAGTCATGGGAGTCCAAATATTACATACTGGTACCAAATTTTATTCAATTCAAACTTACAAATATCAAGAAAAAGCAATTTCAACTCAACCCACTAAGGCCATTAAAAAATAACCATAAAAACAAGGCATGTTACATAATGACCCCCAAAGAAAGGGTCCACACACGGCCTAACTCAGGCCCACACCATGGCCAAGAACTTGAAAATAAAGGGTCCGTCTCAACTGTAGGTCCCACCGGTCCCGTACTTGGTCGCATTCCCACCTACATTAGTATTATGGGCTGTTGTCCGACCCGTACCCGTGTTGGTCCCAATAGGGTGCGCCTCCGCCACACCCTCCGTCACTTGGCCAGCGGGCTGCCCGGTGCCGTGACCGGGAAGTGCGGACATCTGGTGAGTTCCAGTCGGCTGCCCTGCGGCCCCAGTCGTGGAATACGTGTGGGTCCCAGTGCCAGCACCGGTCGCAGTATAGCCGGTAGCCACTGCCACATCCCGCCTAGCCGCCGCGTTTTGCTCCATCGCTTCATGCTTGTTGACCTCGGCCTCGACTATTCTCTCCTCTTTCTTTCGGGCCGCCATGTCCTTTTCAACTGGGTCACTGGACTTCATCTTCTCCACCTACGCAAAACCACATCATCTTACAAAAAAAAATAAAAATAATAAAAAAAAGACTAACGCGTTGAGTGACTTCCCATCATCGCCACTGATGCAGTTTTTTTCTCGATATTATGTTCAAATCCCATAGTAGCGAAGAAAGTGATTCACTTAAAAGTTAAAAAAACTCGTTAAAACAAGGAAAAAATTACTACATATATTATATATATATAACCTTTTCTTGCACGGTGGCTTTGGTCTTTTCCATGCCAGACATGGCAGAGGCTGCTACGTTAGCAGCTGCTTCTTTCATTGCGTTCTTCCCACTCTGCATTTTTCACTCTCTTCTTTCCTTTTTCTTCGAAATTTTTACAAAAGCAACCCTATATCGTGGTGGGAGTAGCTTCATATAACTTTTGAGCAAGTTCAGGGTAAACGACGCGTGTAGTACTAGAAAGCTGAGGTGGACCTGGGGAGAAGTATAACGGTTTCTGTGTGGACACGTGTGCACACGTGTCGTACAGACGCTGACAGTGTGTGTGATGCAGCAGTTTTGGAAGCTTAATCAGTTACGTGGCAAAGGGGAGTTCCGGATCTCTTCCACCTAAACATAGGATCGGATAATCTAAAGTTTTGAAATTTGATTTGACGGTTATAAATAAAAAAAATTTTAAAAATTTATAATAATTATAATCGTTGAATTAAATTTTAAGAATTTGAATATCTTGATCCCTAAACTTAAGTAGAAGAGATTCCAAAGAATATCTCTTTCCCGTGGCCAAGCGGTGACGGGAGTAGATTAGTACCGTTGCCCTTGGTGTATGAAACCGACATGGAGCGACTGCTGCGTTTATGGCTGCGTTACGTCCGGATTTTATTTTACTTATACTTTTATTGGGTCGCCGACATGTTTAGCCTTTCTTTTTCTTTAATTCCAAAACTTATGAGAAATGTTAGCAATTTTTGCACTATTTTTTACGTTTTCACTTCTTTACATGATATATTGTTATTAATTTTTAACTAACAAGGCAGTAGCATTAAATTTGACATGCAAGTAGACTTAAAACATATCTTTTTACGTAAGTTTTATTTGCCTTAAGGGCATCTTATATATGCTACTTTTAGCTCGAAATATTTAAAGGAATTGTAACGAAAAGATTCTAGTACTGTTCATTTTAACGATAAACCACATTTTTACACTAAAAAATCAATCATGATATTATTCACTCTACATTTTATTTTATTTTTATTACTAAAACTCAAAGTTTTCAAACTTTTTTTGTTAATTTTCCTAATATTTAAAGCATGTCTCTACGAAGAAGCCTATATTTTCTAGTTAGCTAGCTGAACTGACTAGCTTTCACGTGGTCTATATTTAGCCACTCGAAAATCTTTTTGGATCACACTTGGGTTTCCTATCTCTTTATATCTCTCTAAATTTAATAAACTATTTGGGCGCGTTTATTTTTTTAAATGTTCCACATCGGTAGGTTCAAAGAAACTTAATGGGTTTAAATAGAATTACCATACTCTAACTAAGGTCATCTCTAACTGAGGGATGGTCAGATGACTCGTTTTAACCCTCTGACCCCCTAAGATATTAGGTCATCTCCAACCAAATGGTCCAAAGGGCCAGAGGGCCGAAAATAGTCCGAAAATCGTCTCCAACCGAGGGTTAGGATTGAGGGCTCGTGGAATCTGAGAGGGCCCCACGAAATCAGAATGAGCCCAAGGGCTGGAGGGCTAGCCAGAAAATAGAGCAATCATGTCGATTATAGCCGTTGTATTCAAATTTTTTTTTGGTTTTTTGGCCCAATTTTTTTTTTTTAATTCTTCTAATTTTTTTCCCTATAAATACCTAAACCATTCATTAAATTTAAGTTCTAATTTTTTTGATTTTTTGGGCCAGTTATCGTTGTAGTTTTTAAATTTAAGTTGTTGTTAGATTTGAATTTAAGTTGTTGTAGTTTTTAAATTTAAATAATAAATTATGTTTGACCCTATGACCCTTTGGCCCTCGGTTGGAGACGGAGGCAAATATGGTCATGTACTGTTCATTCAAATATTAATATCTTGGAGGGCCAGGGGCCAAAACGAGCCCTCTGGCCAGCCCTCGATTGGAGATGACCTTAATATTTTAATGAACAGTACATGACCATATTTATCTCCGTCTCCAACCGAGGGCCAAAGGGCTCGTTTTAGCATTATAGAATGATACGTTCTCGTACCTGTTTGGACCCAAATTTACATTATCGGCCCGTGCAATCAAGGCCGTTGAGTGAGCATAGCTCCCAACCGTCGGATAGAAGAGTGATAATAATTTTATTATTGTTAAGAGATAATATTATAATTTTTATTATAATAATTATCTTTTAACGTGAATTATCTTGGTTATGGGATGCAAACTATATCTGTCATCTGGAAGCAAACAACACAGTTCGAGTTGGGATTCTTATCACTGGCCTATAGGATAAGGAAATGGTGACGTGATGTGACAGAAGGTTAGCTTGCATGCATTTGATGGTCTCTCTTGGGGCATGCGAAAGATCATATGTGGTAGAGAATAAAATAATATTCTTTTATTTTCTACATAATCAAAACAACAAAGTGCATTGAATATTGCCAAGATTGCATTACGATAAATATTTGAAAGCCGAATTTGATGGAAGGTCAGGTTCGCAAGATGACGACAGGTTTTGGTTGATGTGATAAGGTGTGGGATTAGCAACATATAAAGACTTAGAGTCACAGTACAATTGGGATTGGTTTCCACGACTTGAGCATGCAGATCTCTATAAATACTAAGCGGCAGACCATTCAAATGGGGCCTGCAATTCAACATACAACTGCCCTGCGCAAACTCTCTCAACAACTTTGAGATTTTTATTTTCTCTTTTCGCTGACACATCTTCCGTTGGCATCAACAACACTGTGAAAGCAACCGGTGATATCTTAAGTCGGCATAGATAGCTCTGTCACCGCAGAATCAACCGATCTCGCAACATCTTCCGTTGGCATCAACAGCACTGCGGCGAGGACGGTTGGTTACCTATCCAAGTCTCGGTCGAGAAGGATTTCCGAATCCTTATTGGTCGAGGTCATCTCATTAGCCTTCTCGGCGAAGTGAGGTGTTACAAGTTATTACATTCGGCACATTGAAAGCCGAATTTGATATTGAACTTCGTAAGAATAGTAGCCTTGTCTTCAGGTTCGAGAACCCAAGAGGCCGAGACGTGTTCTTTCCTCGGTCGCAATCGCAAGACGCAGAAGTTAGCCGCCCACCCAACGCAACATCAACAAATTTACTCCTCGGCCGAGCTCGGCCGACGAGTTGGCACACCCCGCATTCACCGAAGGACGTAGTTAGCTTATAGATTACTTGGCCTGCGCGCCACGTAGGCTTGGTAGTTTTTAGGGTCAACATGTTGGCACGCCTAGTGGGACAGAGTGTTAAAACTACGAAGTTCATATGATATATCAAGATCCCAATCCAGCTCCACGTAGCCGATTGCACGAGCTCCTAGAGCAATTGGAAAAACACGACGAGGAACGTAAAAGATCTTTGGAAGTGGAAAAAGTTCTTTGTGGCCTTAGAGAGATGCAAAAATCATTTGCTTACATGTTGCGAATAAAAGCTCCTGTTACCCTGCAAGAGAAATGGGTAGATGAAGACAGGGCTCGATTTAATGCCTGGCTAAATGGAGATCATTTTCCTTACGTTTTCGATTACAAATCAATCCCATTTGGTGAATGGTTGGTTGAAAAGACCGGGGGGCAATTTTCCACTCCAGCCACAATTAAAATTCGGCTTAAGAAGACTGTCAAGATGGCCGAAGAAAAACCTAGGCCACCTGTTTTGTCGGTCGAGACTGAAATTATGGTAGGCCTAGAAGAAACAGTTCAAGTTTCTGAGTTACAAATCAACTTAGAAAATGATTCGTCGGATAAGTGCTCCAATGACGAACAAGGCCAAGACATGGGTTTAGATGGCAAAACTACGTCAATTGATATGATTATTGGTGATAAAGCTGATATGGAGAAATCCCGTTCGGCTAAGTTGTTCGAGTTAAAAACTGAAATTTGCGAAATTATTGTGCCTGGGGGGGCATAATAATTGTTCAACACATTTGGCGGCCGATAAAAAATATTTTTCCAAGTTAAATATATTTGGAGATCATTTTTTATTCGGCTCAATGCAAAAGTTGATTGGCTGTGTTGATATACAAAAATCTCGACTTGGAATAAAGCATCGTTAGCCTCCTCCACTTTATAGTTCGGCCACTTTTGTTTTCTTTTGCTGAAAAAAAAAAAAGAATAAATTATTTCCTTAAACCATTCGGCTACCTAGCCGATGCTTAAGAAAATAAAAGGGGCACGGGTGATACGGGTGATATAATCAGCGGATCAGATTTAAACTTGTCGAAAGTAAGTACATATGTTGATGCACAAAACCGGAGGTCTTGGAACAACGTAAATCCGACCGTGAATCTGCAAGTAATGTAAATAACATAAGATGTATCGTGGTTCACCCCAAGGTTTGGGCTACGTCCACACTGATTGTATTGTATTTCTCTGAGAAGTGAGAGAGAGAGCGTTGAGAGGGTGAGGAGCCTTAGGAATTGGCCTCCTTCAATTGTGAGGGTGAGGGGTCCTTTTATAGAATAAGGACTCTTCACTTATTACATATTTACCCTTTTCTTTACCACATAATTACATTTAAGTCCCTCAAGTATTTATATGAGGTCTAAATACGAGTTCCTAAATATGGTATAAACAGTAGTCCCCCAAGTCTTCAGTCAAAAGAGTCTTTTGGCTGGAGACTTGAAATTCAGTCCATGTGTGGGCCGAAGTAACTAGATGTTGTCTTGAACTGATACTCGATATGAGGCAGTGCTCAATCTGAGATGATGCTTAACCAGAAGTAGCACACGCTGCGAGGCTGCTCGGCTCGTAGCTTATGTTGCCTTGGTTGGCTCGGCTTTCGGCGTTTTGAAAGTGAGGGAGTCCCTTTTATAAAATAAGGGCTCGCTCCTCCATACATGAATGATGAGCTAAAGTTGATGCTATCTAATGATGATGAGGGAGTCCCTTTTATAGAATAAGGGCTCGTTCCTCAATACATAAATGATGGGCTAGAGTTGATGCTCGCGGCGAGGCGGTTGCTCAGTAGGCGGTGTTGCTCTCTAATGAATGTGAGGGAGTCCCTTTTATAAAATAAGGGCTCGCTCTTCAGTACATGAATAATGGGTGATCTCTAATGAAAGTGAGGGAGTCTCTTTTATAGAATAAAGGATCGCTCCTCAATACATAAGTAGTGGGCTAAGTCCCCCAAGTATTTTTCATGAGGCCCAGTTGAGGCCTAATATATGGTACATAATGTAGTCCCCCAAGTCTTC